GAGTAGGGTTGTCAGCCTTACGCCCAATGCTCTACAGTCATATTTGACCGGGACCCATGGTTTAAAGGGATTCCAAAGCACTAAAATCATCCATGGTACCACCGGACTCAAACACAAAACGTGGGGGACCGATTGCTCAATGCTATAGATTGTAGTCACTCTGCCATCAGGGCCCGATAACAACATTTATATCGTTAAAAAAGTTTGAAAACCATTTACACATAAAAAAGTATTAGACTACATGAATTTTATTGAGATATGTTGTTGTATATAATCCTCAGTGTCCTTCAGTGCAGGACGGACATCCCATGAGTAATCTGTTCATGATTGGAGGGGAAAAGGTTGTTTCTGTTGTTATGAAGCATGCGTAGGTAGAAGTCTGACTTGGTTTCTGGTCAGTGTTTCCTTTTAAGAAAAAAAAATGTGAACGAAAAAAACCTAACGTCTGGAAATATTTCGGTTTTATAAAAATTCATTTTTTTTTTTTTTTACTCTAAGAAATATGGTTACATCTTAGCAGCTCAGCAGTCTTTATGTTTAAAAGGGTTTTATATACAGCTAGAAGTAGAAAAAAAGAAATTTATATTATACGGGATTAAAATAATAACTCGTGTTATTCATATATTTATTTTTTGTTTATAGGGATTCTTTGAGAGGGATGTGAATTTGGGATAAATATAAGAAAAAAATATTAATAGATAACAACATTTACATCGCTAAAAATAGTCCAAATACCATTTAAGCATAACAAAAATATTAGATTATACTATTGAACTTTATTTATTGATTTCGCTACTGCATGTTTGTCGTTCTAATGCAGCTGGCAATACAAAAATAGTTAATCTTTATGCCATAAGCAAAAGCTGCACCACTTTACTCATTTAGCACTACACGGGGTAGTAGAAGACGCTGTAGCTCGAAGATATGCTACGGAAGCGAGTAACACTACTCACAACGATCTATGATTCTATTAGACCGGGACCTACGATTTAAAATGGATTTCGAACCACTACAAACACCCATGGCCCAGCCGGAATTCGAACACGAAACCTGTGGTATATAGGAGAATGTGCATTTTGAATAAATATGGCTTAAGAATTATTGTAGTTGTAAAAAAAATATTTTAAATGTAAGAAATGTTGACCAAACAACTAGAACATTGATTAAGTGTAGTAGTGTTATAATACTAATTTGAGTTAGTCATTTGTGCGTAATCCTCAGTGTGAGCAGTGCTGGACGGGCACCCCATGAGTAATCTACTCATAGATGGATAGGAAGGGGATGCTTTTGTTGTGATAGAGCACCCAAAAGAAGAAGTCTCACTTGGATTCGTGTCGCTGAAGAAGGAGAGCAGTGTCTTTCCGGTGTAATTTTAGAGGTGACTATGCCGCATTAATGTATTGTATGGGAGAAAATCCGGAAAAACTCCCACCATGTAGTCCGACTAACGACGCAAGATGCTGAACATCAGTAACGTCATCGAACTTACTCGTTTTTTGAAACAGTATCTACAATAATGACGCCAGGAAATTGAACCTCAGTCTTCACGTTCATCAGAGGCGCGTGTTGCCACTGAGCAATAATATAATAAATAAATTTGTGTACAGACTTTTAACTGTACACAAAAATAAGATAAATCAAAGTTCAACGAAACAAAAGAAAAATAAAATCACTTTCCAAATTTAAAAAAAAAAAAAGTTATCACACACCTACGCGAACACAAATATTTTATTTAAAAACTCATATTAAAGCATTTTTACCATGATAACACATATAGTTTTTCAGACAAAAAAAATTCCTTCGTAACCTTAAAAATTATATACTTCAGTGAAAGTGATAGCACATTTTACATCCATTCATAAACATTAAGCATTTTTTTTTTTATCAATAAAAAATTTGAAGTAATTTATATCCCCTGTCAAATACTATATCAAACGCCATTCAAATAAATTTGTGCAACGACTTTCAACTGTACACAAAAATAAGATAAATCAAAGTTCAATGAAATTAAAGAAAAAAAAAAAGTATGTTCTAAATTTTAAAAAAAAAGTTATCACACACCTACACAAAAACAAATATTTTATTTAAAAACTCATATTAAAGCATTTTTACCATGATAACACATAGTTTTCAGGCAAAAAAAATCCTTCGTAACCTTAAAAATTACATACTTGAGCTAACGTGATAGCACATTTTACATTCATTCATAAACATTAAGCATTTTTTATCAATAAAAAAATTTGAAGTAATTTATATCCCCCTGTCAAATACTATATCTAACACCATTCAATATCTTTCAACGAGATTCTTTACAACCAAAAGTAATTAATAATTCTGAATGAAGAAGAAAAAAAAATATTATTTCACGTACCATTTGAAGCCATCAGGAAGAAATACTTTAACACTTTTATTCACATTTTTTCCCCTTTTTTGAAAAAAAGAATTTTCTATAAAGAGGGAAAAAACAAATATGGTAATGCAATCGTCCATACGAATGGTATTCAATGCATAGCGTAAAAATTGGTTCTTTAACGGGAATTTTTTTTTTTTTCCCTATCTTTTACAATGAAGGAGGGAAAAAAATATGGCGCTGATGCACTTTTACGAGGGGCAAGTTTCCTTTCTCTAAATCTATCATTCGATTTGCATTCAAAATTTGGATCTTTTTTAAGGAAGCCTCTATTGACGTTTTTAGCAGGGGCAATAAAATGAGGGGCTACTCACCCCTTATTTTTTTTTTTGTTCTTTTTGAAAGGTTGTCGTCTGCGTCATTTAGTTTTGTCGTCAAGATACGGTGAAGAAGACCAGATTAATCCTTTATGTCAAAACATTTTAAATTCTGTAAGGGATGGATTCGCGTTACGTTAAATAAGAGGATGTGGTAAGCAGTTACTATACCATTCAGGTATATTTTTTTTAAATTTAAACAGTTGATCCCTTTTTCAATTCCTACTATTAGTTCACAAGCTATATATATCTTGTTCAAATTTTTAATCGCTAATAAAATACTTTTTTATTCATCCACTCAAGTTCAAATACATTTTTTTGAACATGAAGTGGATGACACTTGTTGTTTAGTTTTTTTTCAAATATTAATTCAGCAATTAAATTTAATTAATTAATTTTAGTTTTTTATATTTAAGTTACATATATCTACCAATAGGTGGCGCCAGATATACTAAAAAATGACTGAAAATTATTTATAAAGGAATTTCTGCAATAGAGTGAACTTGTTTTAAGGAACTTTAGCTTCCATTAGGGGCTACTCACCCCCTTATTTTTTTGTTCTTCATGAAAGATTGTCGTCTGTGTCATTTAGTTTTGTCTTCAAGATACGGTGAAGAAGACCAGATTAATCCTTTATGTCAAAACATTTTAATTCTGTAAGGTACGGGTTCGCGTAACTTTAAATAAGATGGCAGATTAAGACGGTACTATAAATACGATACCGTGCAGGTATATCTATTTAAATGTAAAGAGTTGATTACTTTTTATTGAATTAGCTCTTTTAATAATTATGTATTATTTAAAAATTATTATTACTATTTTCAAAAAAAAAAAAAAAAATATGGAAAATTTTTAGATGATCAAAATTATAACCATGATAGATTTAGTAATTTGGATGGTAAGCCGAGCATATATTATTGACTATTTGTCTTAAATGGATTAGTTTGGTTGATCTCTCTACTGTCATTTTTGTGCCCACTTTGACTTTCTAAAAAATGACAGTAGGGGGTAGTTTTTTGGGTTAATTGGACCTGGACCTATAGTCTTACGTGGATTCCGAACCACTAACAAACATCTATGCCACCGCCAGATTCGAACCTGAAGCGTGTTACCGAAGGTCAGAGAGCTAGTGAATTGGTCATTGGGTAAAATTAGGAGGTTTGATTTGTCGCTCTAAGGGCATTTTGTGCACACATTGTTCTAATTAGACCGCGACCTACATTTTAAAGTGGATTCCGAACCACTAACCACATCCATGCCACCGCCAGTATTCTAACTGTGGTACCAAAGGCCAGGGCACTAGACAATTGGCCATCAGGCAGCTGTCTTTCTCGAAGTGCTTACTGGAGGAATTACTGGAAGAATACAAGAAGGAGAATTCAGGGTGTCTTATATAATTCTACCGCAACAGATTTTGGAATAGTTGTTTTTGCTAAGTTTGTGATTTAACGTTTACACATGCATATCAGTGGTAAACTATTTTGTTTCAATTTGAAAAAAAATACACACGAATGGTATTTAATGCATAACGTAAAAAATTGGTTCTTTAACGGAAAATTTCTTTTTTTTTCCCTATCTTTTAGAATTAAGGAGGGGAAAAATATGGCAAGAATGGAAAAAATATGGGCACTTATGGAAGTTTCCTTTCTCTAAATCTATCATTCGATTTGCATTCAAAATTTGGATCTTTTTTTTTTAAGGAAGCTCTATTGGCGTTTCCATTAGCAGGGACAATGAAATGGGACTACTCACCCCTTATTTTTTTTTTTTTTTTTGTTCTTCTTGAAAGGTTGTCGTCTGAGTCATTTAGTTTTGTCGTGCCGTTAGTTCGTTTAGTTTTGTACTGTGATCGGTTCATTAGTTCTGCCAAATCACAAAGAGTTCACAACTGATAAATTGAAATTTTAAAATGATTTCAATACATGCAGGCCAACCGGTTAATCATTTCAATATATGCAGCCAACTGGTTGATCATTGCAATAAATGCAGGCCAACCGGATGACTATGCTGAAAACTGTAGTCCTCTTAGTCATACAGAACGTTGCCCAGGGTGCACCACTAAGAGGTAGTCTACATGTTCTCAAAATAGGAAAGACAAAGAAAGTGTCTACCCATGTTCTTAAAATAGCATCTGATATTTGTTTGTGAAAATTAAATCATCATTTAAAAGTATAAATTCTAGTTCCTGTGATAAAAAAAATAAATAAAAGTTCATTGAAATTCACCAAATAATTTCAACTTTTTTTTTCTTTAAATTTTTCATATTATCTGTGTTAGATCACCGAAGTCAAGCATCATTGGGCGCGGTCAGTACTTGGGTGGGCGACCACCTGGGAACACCACGTGCCGTTGGCATTCACAAATTTGGGACATGAATGGCCGAGTGTCTAGCGCTCGGTGCCACAGGTTTCGGGTTCAAATCCCGGCGATGCCATGGATGTTTGTAATGGTTCGAATCCACTTTAAGCTGTAGGTACCGGTCTCCTATGACCGTAAGAGCGTCACGGAGCCAAAGTCAGACTTCTACCTACGGATGCTTCATCACAACAGAAGCTGCTCCCTTCCTCCTTAAATCATGAGTACGTATGGGCTCGTGGGCTTGGCCAGCCAAGTGGGATAAGAAACAACAAACAACAACAACACATTATCTGTGTTCATCTGCCTTAAAAATAAAAAAAATTCTCTGGCTAACCATAGCATCTGATGCCTCTATTATTCTATAATTATTTTGTTAATTTCTAATGTATATATTTATATATAGATATTGTGTCTGAAAATCTACATTGCTGCACTTGACATTTTAAGAGAGAATAAAAAGAAACACTGTCAACAGTTCTGTGCCTCTAGCCTCTGCTCAATCATTTCACTAGGATGCTCTTGTTTATCTGCGTGTATACTATCAAGAGATGAAATAAAACGTAGCAGAAAACAAATTACACCTCGAAGGCTATTAAAAATAAAAACGCCGATTCTGCGAAACATTAGTATGAAAATATCTTCGCTGCTGCATGTTTTTTTCCTAATTGGAGAGAAAGAATCGAACCTTGCTTTTTTTCTCCACTATCTGCTGCGTGATTGAAGATTTCTTCTAGAAAACTGGAAGAAGTTTAGCAGATGCTAATGACTTCTCCTTCTTTTGAGGTAGTCATAGGCAGCGATATTTCTTCTTCCTTTTTCGATCCATGTAAAAAATAGTCCAAGTTATAAAAAAATAATAATAATAATGTAAATTGAAATTGTCTGAAAGCAATCATTAAAGATTTTTTTTTCTCTCGAATCAGTCTCTCGGATTCGTCATGAAGTGTCAAACAGCAATGGCAGTGGGATCGGTTCATTAGTTCTGCCAAATCACAAAGAGTTCACAATAGATAAATTGAAATTTTAAAATGAATTCAATACATACAGGCCAACCGGTTGATCATTTCAATACATGCAGGCCAACCGCTTGATCATTGCAATAAATGCAGGCCAACCGGATGACCATTCCGAAAAACTGTAGTCCCTCTTAGTCATACAGAACATTGCCCAGGATGCACCACTTGGAGGTAGTCTACATGTTCTCAAAATAAGGAAAGACAAAGAAAGTGTCTACCCATTTTCCCAAAATAGCATCTGATATTTGTTTGTGAAAATTAAATCATCATTTAAAAGTATAAATTCTAGTTCCTGTGATAAAAATAAAATAAAAGTTCATTGAAATTCACCAAATAATTTCAACTTTTTTTTTTTTAAATTTTATATTATCTGTGCTCATCTGGCTTAAAAATAAAAAATTTCTCTGGCTAATCATAACACCTGATGGCTCAACTATTCGAGAAATATTTTGTTAATTTCTAATGTATATAGATATGTATTGTGTCTGAAAAGCTACGTTGCTGCACTTGACATTTTAAGCGTGGATAAAAAAGCAACACTGTCAACATTTTTTGCCTCTAGCCTCTGTTCAATCATTTCACTAGGATGCTCTTGTTTATCTGCGTATCAAGAGATGAAATAAAACGTAGCAGAAAACAAATTGCACCTCAAAGGCTATTAAAAATAAAAAACGCAGATTCGGCAAAACATTAGAAAGTACAATATCTTCGCTGCTGCATGTTTTTTTATTCCTAATTGGAGAGAAAAATCGAACCTTCTTTTTTTCATTCATTGTCTGTTGTGATTGAAGTTTTCTTCTAGAAAACTGGAAGAAGTTTAGAAGATGCTAATGACTTCTCCTTCTTTTTGAGGTAGTCATGGGCAGAGATATTTCCCTCTTCCTTTTTCCATCCGTGTAAAAATAGTCCAAGTTATGAAAAAAAAAATAATAATAATTCAAATTGAAATTGCCTGAAAGCAATCATTAAAGATTTTTTTTTCTTTTACATTGCTGTTTAAACTAAAAATTTCTATTAAATATGTCTCTAAGCAAAGAAAAAGTTTTTTTTTTTTTTTTTTTCAAGAAAGAGATTTTTAAATTTTTTTTTCTTTTGTTTCGAAAGAAAAATACTTTCAAGTAAGTTTGGTTTTTATCAAAATATGCTTGCATTTATTTATTTTTTATATTATAAACGTTTTATAAAAAAATAAATGAATGTTGATATTTGATATTGACACAAACATTTCTGCTTCTTGAAATAAAGATTATCTTATATAGATTATATGGGGGCCTCACTGCCGAATGGCTGGCGCTCTGGCATTCGGTACCACAGGTATCGGGTTCAAATGCATGGGTGTTGTAGCGGCTCGGAATCCACTTTAAACCGTAGGTCCCGGTCCTAATTGAGCGTTGTGGGGCATTGTTACTCCGCGTCCGGGGCTTATCTTCAAGTTACACGAGCCCCCTGGGTAATACAATGTGAGTACGTCTGTGCAGAGCCTTAAGGCATCCAAGACCAAGCTGTTCAAGTGTTTGCCAGCTGCATTAGAACAAAAAAATATATAGATATAGATTGTGTCTGAAAAGCTACATTGTCCTAATTTTGACATTTTAAGAGAGGACAAAAAGCAACACTGTCAACATTTATGTGCCTCAGCATCTGTTCAATTATTTCATTAGGATGCTTTTGTTTATCTGCGTATCAACAGATGAAATTAAACGTAGCAGAAAACAAATTGCACCTCGTAGGCTATTAAAAATAAACACGCCGATTCTGCGAAACATTAGAAAGTAAAATATCTTCCCTGCTGCATGTTTTTTTTCCCTAATTGGAGAGAGAAAGAATCGAACCTTGCTTTTTTTCTTCACTATCTGCTGCGTGATTGAAGATTTCTTCTAGAAAACTGGAAGAAATTTAGCAGATGCTAATGACTTCTCCTTCTTTTGAGGTAGTCATAAACAGCGATATTTCTTCTTCCTTTTTCCATCTGTGTAAAAAAAAGTCCAAGTTATGAAGAAAAAATAATAATGTAAATTGAAATTGCCTGAAAGCAATCATTAAAGATTTTTTTTTTCTCTCGAATCAGTCTCTCGGATTCGTCATGAAGTGCCAAACAGCAATGGTAGTGGGATCGGTTCATTAGTTCTGCCAAATCACAAAGAGTTCACAATAGATAAATTGAAATTTTAAAATGAATTCAATACATACAGGCCAACCGGTTGATCATTTCAATACATGCAGGCCAACCGCTTGATCATTGCAATAAATGCAGGCCAACCGGATGACCATTCCGAAAACTGTAGTCCTCTTAGTCGTACAGAACATTGCCCAGGGTGCACCACTAGGAGGTAGTCTACATGTTCTCAAAATAGGAAAGACAAAGAAAGTGTCTACCCATGTTCTCAAAATAGCATCTGATATTTGTTTGTGAAAATTAAATCATCATTTAAAAGTATAAATTTAGTTACGGTGATAAAAAAATAAAAGTTGATTGAATTTCACAAATAATTTCAATTTTTTTTTTTTTTTCTTTAAATTTTTCATATTATCTGTGTTCATCTGGTTTAAAAATAAAAAAAATTTCTCTGGCTAACCATAGCTTTTGATGGCTCAACTATTCGAGAAATATTTTGTTAATTTCTAATATATATATATATAGATAGATAGATAGATATGTAGATTGTGTCTGAAAAGCTACATTGCTGCACTTGACATTTTAAGAGATGATAAAAAGCAACACTGTCAATACTTCTGTGCCTCTAGCCTCTGTTCAATCATATTTCACTAGATGCTCTTGTTTATCTGCGTATCAAGAGATGAAATAAAACGTAGCAGAAAACAAATTGCACCTCGAAGGCTATTAAAAATAAAAAACGCCGATTCTGCGAAACGTTAGAAAGTAAAATATCTTCGCTGCTGCTTGTTTTTTATTCCTAATTGGAGTGAAAGAATCGAACCTTCCTTTTTTTAATCTTTTCATTGTCTGCTGCGTGATTGAGTTTTCTTCTGAAAACTAGAAGTTTGCATAATGACTTCTCCTTCTTTTGAGGTAGTCACAGGCAGCGATATTTCTTCTTCCTTTTTCGATCCGTGTAAAAAAATAGTTCAAGTTATGAAAAAAAAAATAATAATAATAATAATGTAAATTGAAATTGCCTGAAAGCAATCATTAAAGATTTTTTTTTCTTTTTACATTGCTGTTGAAACTAAAAATTTAAGTATGTCTCTAAGCAAAGAGAAAATGTTTTTTTTTCTTTTTTTCAAGAAGAGATTTTTACAATTTTTTTTTTTAAATTTTTATGTCGAAGAAAATACTTTCAAGTAAGTTTTGTTTTTATCAAAAAAATATATTTGCATTTATTTATTTTTTTATATTATAAACATTTATTAAAAATAAATGAATGTTGATATTTGATATCGACACAAACATTTCTGCTTCTAAAAATAAAGATTATCTTTTGTATTTACTAAACTTAAGTGAACAATTAGATATTTATTGTATTACTGATACATTTAATATATTGTAGAAGATTTTTTTTTAGTTTCGTTGTTTCTTATTCCACTTGGTAGACATCTAGACATGGCCCACGGACCCGTATAGATTCATGGTTGAAGGAAAGAGGGCAGCTTCTTAGTTGTTGTTGTTGTATCCCCTGAAAAGTACAACAAAATCAAATATCGTGGTGCTCCCGAATAATATTAGCTATAATGATTACCTGCTGGGAGTATAAATCCGCTTCCGGGGGATGGCTCAGACAATGCATGGTGGCTGCTACAGGTGGGCAATAAAAGCATGATGAGGAGTAAGCTCAACATCAGGGCAGTTGCCACATTGTTGGTATTTTTAACGTCATCAACAGAAATTTTCCTATTTTTATGATGCTTCATTCTTAATCTTGTGAGAGCAGTAGCTGTTTCTGTCCACATTTAGCTTTGTAATGGGGCCTGATGGCCGAATGGCTAGCGCTCTGCGTTCGGTACCACAGGTATCGGGT